GGCTTTGGACAAGAGAATACACATTGTGAAATAGCAGAGGACCAGGGCACACAGGGTCCAGAGAAACAGTTGAAGGAAAATGCTACAAGGGTACTTGTGAGGGATGAGGTTTGGCATCTCAGTTTTCTCTGTGAAGGAGAGTTGAGATTTTCATATGAAAGAGAGAGTGTGAACGCAGCTGGGTGGGAGGTTGGAGGAGTGCTATAGCATTTTAGAATTGAACCTGAAGGGCATGGAGAGGGAGCTACCAGAGTTGAGTACAAAAGACCTGCCAGTCTTATGAAGTAAGAGCAGAGGCTGTTTGGAGACCCATCTCCACATGGCCCAGCCAGTTTCCCTGTCCCCATCTCCGCTCACCAGGATTGCAAATGCAGGTAAGACAGTTGTGAGGTTGTCCTTGGGTTTTTTAGCTGGGGCAGTAGGAGGGAGGGAGCTGGAGCATTGAAGTAGTCCCTGCTCAGCTGAGGAGGACGCGAGAGGGAAGCCAACATCAGGTGGTTGAGGAGCAGTGACAGGGGCTAAGGACAGCCAAGGTTTCTCTCTTCCTGGGGGGGGGGGGGGGGCTTCTCTTCCAGCCATGCATGGTTTCTGCACTTGTCACCCTGGCTCATGTCTCCAGCTTCCATGAAGGGCCTCACACATGCTGCACCAGGGTCCAGGCAGGTTTCTACCTGATGGAAACGGGCATGTATTTGAGAAAGGGGTTCTCAAGTGGCTGTCCACCTCGCCAGCCCTCCCGAAGGGATGCTTGCTGGGCAGGGGACCCCTGTGAGTCAGGCCCCATTTATGAGAGGCTATGGTGTGCCAGACCACAAGCGTGCTTGTAACCTCTTAATTCCTTCTCTTTTGAGAGACAGAAGCCCAACTACCTATTTACAAAACTCTGTTGACACCAAGACTGTTTTCTTTGCCTTCCATCTGATTTCTGCCTCCAGATCTGGTGAAAAGTTTATTAAAAGGACTGTACCTTAAAAATTAAATATAATTATTCTACCCAAAAAGCTTTTGTGATTTGCTTCTTCGTGAGCACTTAGGTTCTTTGGCATCTCACTACTGCAGCATGAATTGTAGAGCAGTTTGGATAACTGGGTAGCCACTGGATGTACTGGTTGTTTTTAGGAGCAGTGGCTAACACAGTTTACATTATACTTAAAACACTAATAGCCTATGAAATTTTTGTGTAAAGATGTTTAAGTAGAAGTCTACCAGGTAATTCATAAAATGTTTTTATGTGATTCAGTAAAACAGCAAATAAAAAAATCAAGGGTCATCCGTTTTCTGAGCAAAAGACAGTTTGTGTGCAGACTGATGGGGTCTGCTGTGTGTCAGGTGCTGGGTCCAAGCCTAGGGCAAGACCCCTGTCCTTGTTCTTGAGGTTCTCCAGTCCAGAGGAAGAAGGAGGCACCTGAAGCCAGTTAGGACATAGTGTGGTCAGCAGTGTGGAAGTGTCATGGAGGAAGGATGGAGTGAGTGGCTGGCTGGCTGGCTGGGACTGCCCCTCATCCTCTGAATGAACAGGGGAGGTGAACAAATCACAATGTGTTCTCTGGGGGAGATTGGATAAGCTCTTTAGAGATGGAGATCAACCGAATCTGGGAGAATGTACCATAGTTTGCCAGATGCAAAACTTCCAGAAAAGTGTTCCAGAAAGAGGGAACAACATGTGCAAGAGCCTGAGCAGTGCAAAGGCAGGGCAGGTGTAGGACCTGCAGTGGAAAGGTCTGTGCTGCTGGCGATATGGGTATTAGAAGGGAGCGTCTGGGCACAAGTCTGAACAGCAGGCTAAGCCTGGTGACGCAGGAGCTTGGACACCATGAGCTGACTTTATTGAGCATCTTCAATATTGTTTTTCTACTGAGGAAACCGAGACCTGGAATTGTACTAACTTGCCCAGATCACACAGGAAGAGCTGGGCCAGGATGAGACCCCAGGCCTCAGGCGTCCCAGCCTGCCTTCTCTTCCTGCTCAGGGTTGTTGATGCACCTGCCCAGCCCTCAACTGCTTAATAGACTTTAGACTTTGTTTTGGGTTTTGTTTCTTTAATGGTGAAGCTCTTTTTGCAAATAAAATATTAATCCCAAACTCAAAGGTATAAAAACAGAGCATGATTCATGAGCATAATTGCATTAGCATAAGTTTATTTCTTATCGAAGTGTATAACACAAGATCCGTTATGAAAACACTGGCTTTCCTTTTTCTTAAATTTATATGTATACATATATTTTAGTTTGTCAGTAGACCTTTATTTTATTTATTTATTTACATGTGGTATTGAGAATCAAACCCAATGCCCCACATATACCAGCCAAGTGCTCTACCACTGAGCCACAACTACAGCCCTGGCTTTCTTTTTAATAACCTCTTTTAATTTAGAATACTTTTAGATGTACGGGAATGTTGTCAAGACAGGACAGAGTCTCAGATGACAATGCTGCCCCCATTGTTAACACCTGCACTGCCAGCCACGAGTCAGGACCAGGGAACTGACATTGCAACATTACTGTGAACTCGCTCTGTACTTCATTTGGATTTGAGTGATTTTCCCTCAGTGTTTTTGTTTTGTGTTTTATTTTCATTATTCCAGGATCCAGTCCCACCCCAAGTTGTAATAACTTTCTTTTAACAAAAACTTAAAACATGATGTCAGGAATTAGGTTACATTTTCCAAAGCTCAGTTTTGTGACTTAAAGTAGATACTGCCTTGAACTACACTATTCTATCTTTTAAAAATGATATTAAAAGATATTACGCCCTGGACTAATATCATAGCAGCAAGCACACTGGCATTGCAGCCAGTGTCCAAAATATATTTGGTGTCATGATCTGATAATGCAGCCCAGAGAAGAATACAGGAGTGCACACCCAGAAAACTTGACAGTCTGTCTCAGGCTCCATAACAGTATACCACAGACTACATGGCTTCAACAGTGGACATTTATTTTTCACAGTTTTGAAGTCTATGAGTCCCAGATGAAGGTGCTGGCCAATTTGGTTCCTGGTGAGAGCTCTCTTCCTGGCTTGACTATGGCTGTGTCCTCACATGGCCTCATTTCTGTACCCACTTGAAGAGATCAAATGTGTGTGTGTTCTCTCTCCCTTTTTCTTCTTATAAAGTCTTGAATCCTATGGAGCTGGGCCCCACCCTTAGGACTTCATTTCATCTTAATTGATCTCCTAAAGATCCTATATCCAAGTACTGTCAAATTGGTGGTTGGGGCTTCAACATATGTTTGGGGTTAGGGTGGTGGGGACAGTTCAGTTCATAATTCAGAGGCTGAAAATTATGTGAGATCTTCATAATCTAACCATGATTTAGTATGAAGTTGAGACCTTCCCATTTTATACAGTATGTTGATAAAGGTAAAGATATACTACGCTGTAAAACACTTGACACCACGAGAAAGTATTCAATATTAAGATCCAATTTAATGCACTATTAAACAATTTAGCAAAGAAAATATAGTTTATTGGAACTGTGCAAAAGCAAGGGCAAGAAAAGCATTTCAAAAGTAGTTGCCCATGAGAGCATTGCCAAAAGTTTTCAGGTCCTCATCAGATTTAACAATAGATGTTTAAAAGTAGTGTCCTTTAAAATAATGGCAAACAACTATTAATTAGATGTTACTGATATGGGCCATGAGTTCTAGAATTTACTTTTCTATACCAAAGATGTTTAGTGTACTGAAGCAGGGTGTGGTACAGATACTTCACATAGAATAAGAAACCACTGGGGCTGGTTTTGTTATTACCACTCAAGAAGTCAGCTGGGTTTACCCCTAGTACTGCATAATGGTCCCTCCTGCCTGTTCCTTCTTGGTTGGTCAGCACAGGCCCTCAACACAGCAAGAGGAGCAAGCAGGTCTTCAGTGAATGTGGAGGGAAGTAACTGGTGATTGATTCCATCTGAAGTAGGAAAATGTGGGAGACAGAGCAAGCAAATTTGAAGGCAGGAGGGAGAGTGTGGGAAGTTTCCTCAGGAGGTACAGGTAGAGTCTCATTTTATCTTTGGAATTATAGAGAAACAGTAATATTACAGAGAAACAGTAGTATTCTGGAGCAGCTAAAAATCATCATTGGAAAGTAAAAAGTTTAATTTAAAAGGATAACATCAAATCATCCTATTATGGGATTGAAAGATAAATGGGAAGAAATCACTTAGGCGTTAAAACTGCAAAATGGATGACTGGCTGACCAAGGTTCATCTAGAGAACTGCACTTAAGAACTTTTCTGCTTTATTGCAATAGTGACATTTTTTTTATTCTGTTAATGTTCCAACATATAATTTGGTAAATTGTGTTATATGCAATTACTAAATCAGGGAGTAGCTTGATTTTACTCTGATGATGCTGTGAAGACTTTGTCTTCAGGCTTTGGGTTCTTAAGTGTATTGTTCAACCAGAATAGTTATAGCCACAAGCTGCAGTCATTCTTGAGTGTAGAGCTTTACCTTTAAGGTAGCTGACCCTGCTATCCATGGGGACTCATTCCGGAACTCCTGTGGATACCAGAACCCAATGATGCTCCAAACCCTTTTATAGAATGATATGGTATTTGCATGTAACTCACAATCCTCCTGAATATTTTAAATCGTCTCTATATTACTTATAAACCGTAATACAATGTCAGTGATATGTAAATAGTTGTTATATTGTGTTGTTTAGTGATGATGGCAAGAAAAAGACTGTACATGTTCAGTAGAGATGCGATTTCTAAAATATATTTTCCATCCAAGGTTTGTTGAATCCATGGATGAAGAACCAGAGGGCAGACTGTGGATAGCAAAGGGTAGCTCTTTTCTCATGGCTACGGTATCTCTTTTAGCTTCTGTAAGCAACTCTTTCCACTTTCCCAGATTATATTTCCTTGACAGTGGAAGCTCCTGGAAGAGCCTGAGACAGCATGGTCTTTCCTCAGAATCTTATGGGAACAGAAACACCTGAGAACTCAACCTGCTCACCAAAAGTGCTGAAACGTGCTTACAGCTATCCTCTGTTCACAGGTGGTCCCCATGCTTCCCAGGCTGCTATGTGAGGAGCTGTGTAGTCTCAACCCCATGACGGACAAGCTGACCTTCTCTGTGATCTGGACGCTGACTCCCGAGGGCAAGGTAACAACTTACATCTTGCCATTCATTCTCTGCTTACCAGCATCCCGTACTTTGTGGTGGGAATCACCTGTGGTGTGCCTGGTGCTGGGCTGTGGTGCTGCTGTGGAAGGGTGGTGAGAAGGAAGTGCGAGGGCTCTGGCCTCAACTGACTGTCAGCCCCACCTGGGAGGCAGGAGCTGATTTTTGCCCAAGACTAAGTGGGTTTCAGTGAGGTTGGGTATGTACTGGGAGGCAGGCGGCCCCACTACAGGAAGGGAGCAGGGCCTGGGGGAGGAGGGCATTAATGAGTGGGGAGAGTTTGCAAAGATGTGCAACATCAAACTAGGGAAAGTCTGAAATGGCAGTCACAGATGAATTGCGGCTGCTAGGATTCATAATGTTTCATGAGGAATGTGGCATTTCAAAAGATGAGTGCTGCATCAGGGTGCAGGGTGACTGGGGGTGTGTAGGCTAGGCAGCAAGGTAGCACTGTGTCAAGACACAGGGTACAAAACCCTGGGGCACTGTGGAACATCAGCAAGCATGTCCCAGACGCGGGGAAGAAGGGAGTTGGTAAAGAAAGATTTTTTTAAAAAAAAAAGCAGTTTCTTCCCCCAGAACAACAGCTCTGCACATCCAGAATAGGGTAATGATAAATAAACTATGGTGTCTAATCTGGAATGTTATACAGTTACTAAAGCTGATTACAAAGACCATTGAAGAACATGGCAAATGTTTATGCTGTAATATTTAATAGAAGTTTTTTAAAAAAGGTAATTATTATTAAGAGATTCCAAATAAAGATGGAAGATCGAATACCCACATTTACTTTCATTCCCTCCCAAACCTCACTAAAACAACAATAAAGAGAATTTTTTTTGAAGACATAAACCCACAAGGACAAAGAGAGTGGGAGAGGAGACAACAGCAACAAAATTTTGGAAGTTGGGTAGCAGATGGATGAGTGGTAACTGACTTAGCAGTCCTGAGAAAGTTGATTCCTGAGCCAGCAACAGAGGAAGCCAAAAAAAAAAAAAAAAAAAATCCAGAAATTGACAGCACTAGATAACTCTGGAAGGCAGGGAGTGGTGGGTGAACATGAGGCTGCAACAGTATCAGTTGCAAGTTTATTTTAAAAAAGATTAGTTCCCATGTTCTACACAGAAGACCAGAAATTTATTTTCTGGACAGGACAGAGGAAGGTGTCTGAACTGAGGCACAGTGACACACTCGGTGCTGCTGGGCCTAGGGATCGAGTGAATGTTGGCATACTGAAAGTTCTTTCCACCAACTCCAGAGTTCTGGGGGCCAGGCCTGCACCCATGAGTTAGGAGATGGAAACATCTTTCTCTGAAGAGTCTGAGTAGTAAATAATAAAGGCATACTAATAACCTTAAGGGTTTCCCAAGGAGCAGCCCAGCTCTCTTCTGCAGTAAAGCTCACAGACAGTGAGCCCCACTGCCCTATCACAGTTTTTTAGTATTTCACTTTCATGTCTGAAGGGACAACCAAGAGGAGAGTGTCTAATATTACATAGAAAGGTAAAGTAATCTAATAAAGAAAAGCAACTAGGACAAAACACTAACAAGGAAAAGAAATGATATCTTTATAGAATTTTTTAAAGAGAGTTATCTATATCACAAGATAGAAGAAATGAAAAAGATTCAAGATTCCAGTTGGAAGTGAAGTTGAAGAATTATTCCAGAAAGAGATAGAAACGACAAGAAATTTAGAGGACCAGTCCAAGGTATCCAGCATCTGCTCAACGAGCATACTAGAAATAGCAAAGAGATCAAAAGGAAAGAAATGATCAACAGGCATGTAAAAACATGGAACCATGAATCCCACCATTATGTACACCCTAATATTACCAATTAAACAAATATGGGGATGGGGTGGGCAAAATCATTCTAGGAAATGCTCTATTTCTGGAAGACTTTCCAGATTGGAAGAGCTCGTTGCCAGCATAGTGGTGGAAACATGTCTCCAAGACACACCACCAGAAAATTCTAGAACTCTGGAGACAAAGAATAAGATGCAGGAGGGGATCGCCTACAGTAGATCAGAAACCAGAATAACTAGTACTTTTCTACCACAACTCTAGAAGCCACGTGACAGTGAAGAAAACCTCCATGTCTGAAAGTCTGTGATCTCCATACCAAAGTTTTGTACCTAGCTTTCAGTAAACTGCAAGAGTAGGAGAGGACATTTTGAGACAAAAAGTACTTCTGGTACACTGTTTCTCACAAAGCTGCCAGAGAATAGGCTTCACTAGAATGAAGGAGTAAATAAAAAAAAAGAAAGAATCGGGCACAGTGGTGCACACCTATAATCCCAGCACCTCAAGAGGCTGAGGCAGGAGGATTGGAGTTCCAAGCCAGCCACAGCAAAAACAAGGCGCTAAGCCAATCAGTGAGACCCACCCCGCCACCCCACCCTGCCACCCCACCCTGTCTCTAAATAAAATACAAACAGGGCTGGGGATGTGGCTCAGTGGTTGAGTTCAACCCCCAATACCCCACCCCCCCAAAAAAGAAAGAGAAAGATATTGGACATAGGAAACATAAATCAGCACAGGGAAGAACGGAAGGAATCACCTAGATCAGGGTTTAAGACACTTCCTATAAAGGCCCAAATGGTGAATATCTCTGATTTCACAAGCCACCTTCTCGGTCATAGCTATGGAACTCTCACACTCTAGCAGGGGAGCAGATGACAGGTAAATGAAACAGCTTGGCTCTGTGCCAGGAAAACTTTATTTAAATTCAGATGGCAGGTTGGATTTGACCCACTGGGCCATAATTTGGTGATTGATACCCAAACAGCAATACCCAAACCCCTCAGTGCTTTTGGACCATCTGTGTAATATCAATACATGGGACAAGCCATGCAGTGCCTTAGTGTTATTATGAAACCAGTTTTGACCTCATGGACCCCTGAAAAGGTCTCAGCAACTTAGCAAGGCCCTAAGCAATCCAGGAAGACCCTGTCTCTAAGTAAAATATAAAAAGGGCTGGGGATGTGGTGGCCCAGTGGTTAAGTGCCCCTGTGTTCAATCCCAGGCACCAAAAAAAAAAAAAAAAAAAGTGGTTATCATGAGGAGGGACAGACGAGAGGAGAACAGAGGGTTACTGTCTTTCATAACAAGCCTTTAAAACTATGTGATTATTGTAACTATGTATACTTTATTTTTAAATTTTTAACCTGCAGTTTTTCAGATATACCTGAAAGTAAAGAAAATAGCACATTAAATGCTCTTTGCACATCTCCCAAATTCAACTACTGTTAAGATTTTGGTTTTTGATACAGTGTTTTGAAACAAACCATAGTCAGGTCCTTTCACTTATATGTACTTTCATATGCAACTCTAAAAACTGTGGACTTCCTTTAATATAAACACAACCCTGGGGCTGGGGTTGTGGCTCAGTGGTAGAGTGCTTGCCTTGCATGTGTGGGGCACTGGGTTTGATCCTCAGCAGCACATAAATAAATAAAATAAAGGTGTTGTGTCCTATAACTAAAAAATAAATAAATAAATAAATAAAATAAAAAACCCTATAGCATACCTAACAATGGACGCTAATGCCATGGTGCCATCCAGAACCCATAACACATTTCCCTGAGTGTCTCCAATGGACTTGTCCAAATTGAAATGAAAAAAAAAAAAAATACACATGTTACTTTTGGTTTTTATGGCTCCTAACTATCTGGTAAAAAGTTCCTTTCTAAGGTTTAAGAGGCAAACATTATCTGAAACGCAGAGAAGGAATTATGAGTACAGTATGCCAGCACTCATATTCTGGTGGGGGTGAGAGCAAGCATGGGGGGAAAATGAATGGAAAAAGATCAGAAGGAAATAAAACAGAATGCCAACTGTGGTTGTGTTTGGGTAGTAAAACTATGAGTAATTTTTTCTACTTTTTTGTATTTTCTAATGTTTTTTGAAAACATGTATAACTTTTATATTTTTATAAATGCTTATTTTTGCAAAAGTTTAACTAAATAGAAAATAAAAGCCTGTAGAAGAAAACTAACTTGAGTCAACATAGAAGAACGTTGAATCTGAATTATGCCTGCCAGGATCAGACCCGAGAAATAAAAACTGCCTCATCTAATGTGCTTCTAAAATACGAGGGTCATAAAAGAAGCACTAGAAAGCGGCAAACCCTGACACGCAGCTGCCCTTTGGGGTTTCTGTTCGAGGCAGTGTTGGGTGCTTAGGGCTTCTGCTCTTCACAAGGTGCTGCAGGGCAGGTGGAGGCACAGGGCCAGGAAAGGTGCTGGGCCTCTGTCTAACCACACCAGATAGGAAGGACCAGGGTTGGAACTAAGGACAGAGACTAGCAGGGCAAGGCCCATTGTGGTTTTCCAAATACCCTACCCAGAGACCAGGGGACAACATGAGAGGTACACCAGTTGGTTAGTCCTGAGTATCTCTTACCTGCAGTCAGGACCCATAATGAAAGGTCTGATTCCACATTTGTATCCAAGGAATGCTTGTTTAAGATGCTAGTAAGCAAAGCCTGAGTTAAGCTAGAGGAGCACAGATTCAGAATCAGATGAGAGATCAGGGTGCCAGAGGAGGCCCTAAGGGCAGCCCTGCATCAAGAACCCAAATGAATAAAGAGGAAGGAACTCAAAGCCTGTGTGGCCAGAGCCAGGAGGCTGGGTTTACTTATAGTCTCTCTTAGCAAAAGGGCTTGGGCTTTGTTAGAAGGAGCCAGAGCAGGACCAGCAGCATTGTGTCCCCACTCCTCCCACATGGCTGCCACTTTTACCTGGTGCCAAAGTGAAGGTTTTCCTTACGCTACTGGCCTGCCTTACTCTCTGGGGCAGGTGTGGTCCACCATTGGAAGGCTACTACTTTTTTTGTTTTTTTTTAACATCCACAAGAAAATCTTGGATAGTTTTGCTTTCATCAAGCCAGTGCCCCAATGTTTAGGTCAATAAATGTTTAAGAATCTATTTTTAGCATATTTTTCATGTGTTTGTTTTAAGAACATTGTTCTCTAATCTTGACA